GATCCGCATTGCGGGCGTGAATGAGTCAAGGGGAACGAAAAAGTTATATCATTTTGAAATATCCGCTGGCTCAGGCGTTTTTTTTTTAATTCGAAAATTACAGCAGATATTTCAAAATGGTATAAGACTTTTTCATTCCTCTTGATTTATTCTACGCAATGCAGCCCGGACCTTACTTAAGGGACTTGAAAATATTATATTAGAGGTTTTAGTCGAATATCTTGCGTAATGCTATTGCAGGCGATACTGTTTCAAATTTTATAACTCGAAAAGTACTTAACAAAAATAACTTTATTACAGTAGAGTCTCTCTAAATTTGGCCCATGGGGGGTAAGAGTGGAATGCCAAAATTATAGCCCTCTCTACACGAGTCTACTAATCACCACGTACTTGCGCGAATGCAATTGCGCATGCTAACCTGTCAAAGTGCACTACAGTGTATATAACCTTAGCAGAACAAGTCATATGTACATATATAGCACATATTATATATCACAAAAGAATACATTACACAAATAGTTATACATAATCTGTCTATGGAATTACATTGCATACATTGTGAGAATCTAGTACAATTAGCAGATGCGCGCGTAATGTCCAATCTACTATGATATGGAAGGGGCATGATATTATGTAAAAATATGTTTGAGGAATGCAAAGATTAGAGTCAGAGAGACTAAAGATTACAGAAGTCAAATTTAGAGAGACTCTACTGTATAGTGTTTTAAAAAATTCTTGCCAGCTATTAGATTTCATAAAAAAATAGAATATTCTATTTAAAATAATCAATTTGACCTTGACGTGACTTTGGCGACGTTACCCAAGGTCAAGCGAATGTAATCAATAAATAGATCTTTTTAAAGTGCACAACTTTTGTCTGAAATATTTTTTTCAAAAATGCTTTGCTTTTGAAATATTTGACCATTTCCAGACTTTTGATACACCCTTACACATATATATATAGTTTTTCTGGATAAATAAGCATTCTTTCATAAATGTACTGACTTCCAAAATGACAACTGCATAGATTTTAAAGGTGTCCATTCAGAGCCAATTTTGGCCATTTTTACACATCTTTCTTTGATTTTAAGTACAAATTATAAATATGTGTAATGTTAAAAAGATGAGTTACAAATTACTTTAATATTTTCATAAAAGAAAATTAATTCTAATTTGCATTAAATATTTCCTAAATGTAATGTTCTTAAATAGTAATGCTGCAGTAATGTGATACCTTGCACATGTAAATATAATTAATTTTTAATAATTTTATGTTTCAGAATATAAGATTTATTTATTTTCAAACATTTTATTACGATACGTAATGGAGTGATACATCAAATTATTTTATGTGAATTGAACATTTGGACTATAAATTATACATAGAGTCTTTATCAAAATTGATAAGAAAGAAATTAATAAAAACGTAGAAAAAGAAGAAAAAATAGAAAGAAAAGCCTCTCATTCCTATATTTAATTTTTATATTTAAATTACCAAAAGTTACATAAAGTACTAACCTTGATGATGATGATGATGTGGAATGGAAGGCGGCGCTGTCGGATGATAAGATGTCGGTGGATACGGCACTGGACAAAGAGCTGCACCAGCCGCTGCTGCAGCTGCATAAAAATGATGATGATGATGATGATGATGATGAGCTGAATGATGTGAATGATGATGCATAGTTGTCGTTGTGCCAACTTTATTTCTTAATATTCTTGATATACTGGATACTGATGGGACATTATATTTGTCGCAAACGCCATCAGACAATAATCGATCTCTGATCTCCCATGCAAAAATTCCTGGATCTTTTAATTTCAATTGCTTTATGTATTGCACAACTTTTGGTGTAGTCACACGTGGCTTGCTGCCACCAATTGCGCCTGGTAGAATACTACCCGTTTCATGATAGCGTGCCAATATTTTACTGACACATCCGTGACTAACACGTAATTGGCGTGAGATATCACATGGTCTGATACCCAATTGTGCAAGCTCGACTATTCTCAATCTGACTGCATTGGGAAGTGGTCTTCCATTAACGAATACACCGCCTAATTGATTTACTTCTCCATATTGTTGTTGATGTTGTTGCTGTTGGTGCAGTTGTGGTTGTTCCCCAATTTCAATGCTAGTGTTTTCTGTAACATAATTAATTAATATTTTATTACACAGATTATAAATTATTAGTAAGCATAAATAAAAATAAAGACCTTATTTTAAAAGGTTGGTAAACACTAAAACAATTCTGGAAGAATCGATTACAATTTTTTTCTTGTTTAACACATAAATAAAAAAATAGATATATATATATA